GCACACACGCCCCCCTCCTGCCCTCCCCAGCCTGGAGAGCCCTGGGCTTGTCACCAGATGGAGGCAGCTTTTGGCTAGAGGTTGGCATCCATACCCCTCCTCTGTCCTTATCCAACAGTGGCCTGCCCCTCTGCGGGTCTCTGTTCATGTCCCCATGTCCTGCCCCTAGGTCCCTGGAGATAAAGAGAGCTGCTGTCTCTGATTCCACTGTATGGGTGGGAGCACGAGCTCCAGGTCCTCTCCAGGCCCTGCAGAGTCTAGCTGCAAGGGCCTCCAAGGCGTGGCCAGTCTGTCCCAGGGAGTCGCAGGCCCAGAGAAGAGGCCAGCCAAGGTGGCACAGCAACCTAGGGGCTGCTCACCCTCTACTTCCAGGCCCGGGGCCTGGCCGTTACCCCCCACAGCTGATCCTCGGGGTTATCATCTTTTGACCTCAAATACATCACCCCACCCAAATACCCCTTACCACCACCCACTGTCCCTCCCGCATAGGGACAGGGTTGACCTTCAGTGTTCCTGGGGGTGGAGAGACCCCAGCCTATTCCAGCTGAGCTCAGCTGCCAGGTTCAAGGTGATTCCTTCTCACAGACACCTGGTCCTTTCCAGGCCTCCCCACCCTCCCAGGGCCTGGCCCAATCCCTCCCTGACCAGAAGGCCACACAGCAACTCCTGGAGAGAGGGGACAGTCATCCCTTCTCAGGTTGCAATTCCGTCCCCTGGAGCCACTCAGGTGACAAGCTCTGTCTGCACCTGCCCCTCTGGACACACAGCTCAGGTTGGCTGGAGCCCACTGCAGCTCTGCCACTGGCCAGCTGTGTGACCACAGGAATGGGGACCATCAGGCCCTGGGCCCACGTCTGAGCCGTGTGGTGCGGCACCTCCGAAGCTGCGCTCTCTGGTTTTAGAAAGGGTCTTCGGCGGGGTCCGACCAGAGCGTCATGTGCAGCTTCCTGCAGCTCGTCGGGGACAAGTGGGGCAGAAGTGGCCCCCGGGGCTGGTGCGTGATCCCCCGGGACGACCCCCTGGTGCTCTATGTCTACGCTGCCCCACAGGTAAAGCCCCACCTGGGCCTGGGCTCCCCACGGGGTGTGTACCATGTGTCACAGAGGGAAACTGAGGCAGAGGAGGATGTACCCACGAGCTACAGACCTAGTGGGTTTTTGGAGCTGAGCCCAGACTCCAAGTCACCGCGGCTTTGGCCCAAGGGGGCAGCTGGCCCTCCCCTCCCTCCATGTCCTCCTGCCAGCCCATCCCCTCCGAGTGCAGCAGCATCTATGGGCCTGCAGGGCTGAGGTGGGAGGACAGAGGCCACGTTCTCCCTCCTCCCCAGGACATGCGGGCCCACACCTCCATCCCCCTGCTGGGCTACCAGGTGACCGCTGGGCCCCAGGGCGACCCCCGAGTCTTCCAGCTGCAACAGTCAGGCCAGCTCTACACCTTCAAGGCCGACACTGAGGAGCTGAAGGGCCGCTGGGTGAAGGCCGTGGAGCGGGCAGCCAGCGGCTGGGGGGCCCCGGGGGCCCGGCGGGCACCGTC